GGGGGGAGGGCAGCCAGGAAGCTGCACGGATGAGCCTCGCTCCGCTTGCGTTGTATCTTCTCATTTTCTAGCGGAAGATTCGTTCTCATTTCGAATGTTCACAATGGAGCGAGACCCATATAGATTCGTTGAGTTTTTTTCCCCAAGACACAAGCCCTTCTATTATGGGGGCCATCAGTCCGGTTGCTTCTCACCGGCAAGCATGTTTGTACATTCAAGAGAAAGGGGAGAAAGAGAACAAGAAAAGAGGTCAGCCTATCCCTTGCGGTCCTAGTCGCCTGCAAGGGGGCACCTGCTACGGTGCATCCCTTCCTTCCAATCCGTTGCCTTCCTGAAGAAGGGGGCTGTCCTGCTGGTCGGGAAGCTTACTAGCAGCACCCAGTCACACAGCAGGGTAGCCTCCCGGATGGTGGGACACGGGGGGGGGGGCTCCCTAGCAGCTCCTCAGGGTGCATTACACCTGTATTTGCCTGTCACTGACTCGTACAAGATCTTATCTAAACTCCTGTTACCCTTTTTTCTGTCTGTACCTTATCAGCCCCGTTTACTCTCAGTCCAATCTTATGTTGTCCTACTGTCCTTGTATCCCTGAATTCAATCCTTCGTACTTCCTTTATCTTACTCCCTAGTTACTCTCATCCTTCCGCATATTGTCATCCTTACTGCCTGATGTACCCAACCCTTGTTATTTTACACTCCATAGGCTCACATAACCTCTAGCTTCCACCATTCCCTATCAATGCTAGATATTTTCTACGTACTCACTCAAATTATCGCACGCACGACCCGTAATTGTTCTTGTGCTTGAGCGCAAAGATGTTGCACGCAAGACTTCACATAAATAATCGTCGCTTTGCAGGCCTCTATCATAATGACTAGGCATGCACGAATACCTGAGCGGTCGCGATGATAGAGTACATGCACGAATACCTGAGCAGTCGCGATGATACAGTACTATGTAGTGCCCATAAAAATGTGATCCCCTTTAATTCGTGGGATTGCATTTGACGCTCGTCTGACGCGCGCGCTAAAGGGTCAGTCCTTTAGCGAGCGTAGAAGCGGACCGAGCACCCTACCATCTTCTGCACCCTATTATGGCCCAAGAGGGGTGGGGTAGGATGGCACTGGGGTCTGGCCCACCACCAGCAACACACTAACCCTTCTACTCGGAACCTTATTGTTCCACCAAGATGACCTTTAAACAAGGAAAAACCAAATTTTCGTGTGCGCGCGATCGTATAATTGTTCATAGGCCTAGGCCTATGTAAAATACCCGCGTGCGCCAACTATGACAATTGTACGTAAGGAAATGGCCAAGTCGCGCGTCGTCCCTTTGCGAGTGTTCCGACCCATAACTTATTTTGCGCGAGACTTTTGGTGTAGTCCGCGCACAAAAATGCTTAAGAGGGATGCTCGTGCAAGAAAAATCATAATATTTAGATATGTGAACCCTCACAACCAACTGTCATCACGACGCTTCACGCGTTTACCCATAGTCATTTGACCCTTCGCGGACTTCAACGCTGCGCACTACACTCTAGTGTTGGGGATGAGTATCGTGAAGGAGGTATCCTTCACGATATGGAACGGTTGAAGGATGAGTCGTTCAACCCTCGTGGCGCCTCTATCCCTTAGGCGGAGCACCATAATGGGCAGGGCGCGAATGCTTAGCTCATAGGGGAAACCCTTTTGTGTTGAGCTGGAACTTGGATTGTCCTGGACAAGGGCGTCGAATTCCAGGTTTCAGGACCAACGTCCGACCAATTAATTCGTATAGCAAAAACAAGCGCGTGCATTGTCGCGGGTATCGCGCGGATTATACATGTGCGAGTTCACTTGGCCAAAATGACTACGTGAAAATAAAGTGGTTTAATCACTCAGACAAAGAGGTTGTGTGACATTAAACGATCTCTCCCACAAAAATATTGTGGCTTGTTCATCAGCATTCACGCAATACACAAACAATCGCCAAGACTCAATCCAGAATATCCCACACATACCTGCAATCACACAAAGTTTGAACAACAACATCCCATACATTAGAGGAGTCAATTTTACCGTTCCCTACGACGCATACCCTGCCTTATGCACACAACCCCCAACCATTTTTCGCCATCCAACAACATTCTTTAAAAATGGTAATTCAAAAAGAAGTCTGAGTGAAAATCCCAAGAAACATAAAAACCCACAAGGGCTTAGTCCTTAGTTTGAGATGCAGAAGCAGGTAAGTTGTGTCGTAAACCGACCTGTTATCAAAGGATAGCAGAAGAGTGATCCTTTTGTAGCATCAGACCGAACAAATCGAGCCTTCAATCGGTAGTGTAAACCCGCATCATAGTACAGGCCAAAAAGGACCAATACTACGTTTAAAACAAATGGAGGATATGCTCCATTTCGTAGTCTAACTCCTCTATTAAACCACCAGTACTTGTCCCAGCTATTGAAGCCGAGCCTGAATATGCCTTGCGCGCCAACTTTTGCCGAGCTTGCGGGGAGTGGGAAAAAATATGGGACATCTGCTGCTGCAAGCAGGTACCGCCCCTTCCTTTAGACCTGCTGCCAGCCGATGGAACGTAAACAGGCCGTCGTTTTCTTGTTTCCACTCACGCATTCAATGCTCCCGTGAAGGATCTTCTTCCAAAAAAAAAAAGCCAAAAAAA